GGCATTGTTGAAGGCTTATATCAACAAGAAGCAAATGATGGGGCATGCTGAAAGCCCGTGTCATCTTTAAAAAAGTTGCATTATTCTGGTAATTCGATGCTGGCAAGCCAAAGTATTCCACTTGAAGTCCTATTGAGTTTTGTTCTCGTGACATCACACAAAAGCTCTGAACCATGCAAAGAGTTTCCCTGATTGAAAATCTAGGCATAAGCCACAAGAAAGGATGAACGTGTTATCAAATGTTTTACAAACCAATGATTATGGTGCTAAACCAATAGTATGATCATATGGTTTCAATTTGTTTGTCTTCTACAATCCCAAGGATAAAAGTGAGGAATGATGAAGATTTCTTTCCACGAAGGGGCGCTGAAATTTTAATAACAATAAACTAATGGAGCCAACTAAGGTTGAACGATAGGTTGTTGTTAAACATCTCGACATGATATGGTCTGAATGGCTTGCTCGAGATCTGATTATATGTGGAGACATGAAAGGAATTAGGATAAATCCTCCTTGTGATGTGTTTCAAGAATCAAATTAGAACAAACGACGCTCTCCTAATTAATCTCTGTTGAGTTTGGCATAGTTATATCTACATTCTTCAAAATGATAAATTTTCTTTTCAAAGATGAAAATCTTTATTGGATTTCTACATAAGTTCAAATAAAGAAAGTCGGTTTTATCATAGACAAAAAGAAGCAACAAGGTCATAATTCTGACTACAGCTAGAGCTTCGTAAATGAAACATTTCTTCTGAGACTTTAATGCAAATTGAGACAAGGAAGACACAAAGATACAAGTTGATCAGATGTTTTTTCAGAAATGCATGTCTGATAGCATAAGTTGCTACACTGATATTTGGAGAAAACCCTGAAAAGAAATTATTAAATGGAAGAAGATTGAATTCGTCACTCTGAAGTCAAACGAAGATTGAATCGACATTTTGCATTCATAAGAACATTATTTGCATAAAAGATCATGCATTACATTTGATTGCATTTGCATAAATACATTTTTCACATGAAGATGCAATGACAAAATACCTTACAAATGTAAGGTAGAATTCAAATCCCAAATACAGGAACATGTTAGGAGAGACAAACATCTGAAGAATAGATGAACGCAATCCACAAATGAAGCATTATTTTGAATTGGGGCATGGTACCCAACCAACAAGTTTCTCATTTAATCTTTTTTAAAAAATGAAATTCTTGAAAAGTAAGAAGTTTATTACCAGTAAAGTATTTCCCACAAATTTGTAAATCCTTCGGGTCATCTGTTAGTCTTTCGAGCATGATGCTTAAAACCTTCGGGTCATCTGTCAGTCTTTCGAGCAAGATGATAAGTCCTTAGGGCCATCCGTAAAGCCTTTGGGTAGGATGTTCACATATGATTTTCACATGAAAATGAGATAGCGATTTTCAAAGTTTCTCATTTAATGTTCTAGAAAATCAAATACTTGAAAAGTAAGAAGTTTCTTACCTAGTAAAGTATTTCCCACAAATTTGTAAATCATTCGGGTCATCTATTAGTCTTTCGAGCATGATGCTTAAAACCTTCGGCTCATATGTCAGTCTTTCGAGCAAGATGATAAGTCCTTAGGGCCATCCGTAAAGCCTTTGGGTAGGATGTTCACATATAATTTTCGCATGAAAATGAGATAGTGATTTTCAAAGTTTCTCATTTAATGTTCTAAAAAATCAAAATTTTGAAAAATAAGAAGTTTCTTACCTAGTAAAGTATTTCCCACAAATTTGTAAATCCTTCGGGTCATCTATTAGTCTTTCGAGCATGATGCTTAAAACATTCGGGATATCTGTCAGTCTTTCGAGCAAGATGATAAGTCTTTAGGGCCATCCATAAAATCTCAGGGTAGGATGTTTTAGCATGAAAATAAGAAAGCGATTACCAAAGTTTCTCATTTAATGTTCTAGAAAATTAAAACCTCCGGGTAATTTGTAAATCCTCCGGGTCATTTATAAAACCTCAGGGTAGGATATTTTCGCATGAAAATGAGAAAGCGATTACCAAAGTTTAATGTTCTAAAAAAATTAAATCCTCCAGGTCATATATAAAACCTCAGGGTAGGATGTTTTCGCATGAAAATGAGAAAGTGATTACCAAAGTTTCTCATTTAATGTTCTAGAAAATTAAAACCTCCGGGTAATTTATAAATCCTCTGGGTCATCTATAAAACCTCAGGGTAGGATGTTTTCGCATGAAAATGAGAAAGCGATTACCAAAGTTTCTCATTTAATGTTCAAGAAAAGTAAATCCTCCGGGTCATCTATAAAACCTCAGGGTAGGATGTTTTCACATGAAAATGAGAAAGCGATTTTCAAAGTTTCTCATTTAATTTTCAAGAAAATTAAAACCTCTAGGTGATTTATAAAACCTCCGGGTCATCTGTAAAACCTCCGGGTAGGATGTTTTTACTTTAATTTCCTTATAAAAACTTGCCAACAGGACGAATTTTTTTTGTCATTTTGTCTTTGCTCTATTCTTGTTAACACAAAAATGGGCAAAGAGTGACAGCTTTTTACAGTCATTTTCGTCAGAGACTATAAATTACAATTATTATTATTATTATTACAAATATTACAAAATTGGGGCCCAGTTAAAAATGAAGACCTGAAGGCCTAAGACCCGTGCCAGGCCTAAAATCAAAGCAAGCTTGAGAAGCCCAAACCCGATTAGGGTTTTCACATCTCATCTCAGCCGCCAGCATCTACAACCGTTGGATCTGGAGGGATCCAACGGTCCATATCCAATCTAGAAGAAACTCTAGGGTTCACCAACCCTAGAGATATTCCGGCTGCCGCCTCCAAGTGCCTCAACCAGTGACTGCCACGACGTCGCCGCCTCCAACAGAAGGATCCAGAAGAAACAAGGAGAACCGCACACCTCGCTCCCTATGGTGAATCACCATTGTAGATCCGGTGACTCACCAAAATGAACGGTTGTTCGAGGCCTTCCGAGGCCTATAAAAAGCCGAACCTGTAATAGAAAAAAAGAACAAGGAAGGAGACACGAAGAGAAGCAACGAACGACTGAAAGAAACAAACAGAGGAAGCACAAGAAAGGAGAAGAGATCTTACCTCCGTTGAAGCTCAAACATCATCGGAAAAGTGATTTTACCGAAGGTAAAATCTCAGATCTAGTCCGATTTACTAGATTTTAGCAAAAAAGAAGCTTAGATTCGGGTCGAAGGAAAGTCGATCTACGTTTTGAGGTACTTTTATTTTTTTGTCCACCGTGAATAGTGATCGGTGACCGGAATAGTGCCCGGCAGTGGCCGGACGGTGGTCAGCCCTCCCTCCGGTGAGGGAATTTAAAGAGAAGGGAGAGCTTCTCTGAGAGAGAAGCAAAATGAACAAATGAGAAGAATTAATGATTTAGGCATGTTTTGGCTTATTTATACCCAAATCAAAACTACGTCGTTTTGGGGAGGGAGTGTCTGTGTAATTTTAGAATTGGTTTAACCTCGTCTGTGGTCCCTGTATTCTGTAATCTTCCATTATAGTCACCGAAATCAGGTTCCTATATCTTTTAATTTTGTCTTCACATTTTATTTATTTTTATTTTAGTCACTACCTGTATATTTACATATATTTAAATAATATTTTAGGATTATTTACACTTTTAATATATATATTTTTATAATATTTTGAATATTGACCAATAATTTATATATTTTTTTAATTTAATCACATATTATTATTTTGGTTAATTATTTAATTGTAACTTTATTTTATTTTTATTATTACATTTTATGTTTAAAATAAAATAAATTAATGAATAATTAAAAATAAAAAAGATAATATCATTATTAAAAGTAATAATAAAAATTAGAAAGTTGAGCACTATAATTATGGATGTTTCATTTTAAAATGTATTTACATGTCCACTAAGTTTTGTCCACAAATATTTTAATAAACCCACGTTTTTTTAATTAATTATAATGCTTCATTTTATTTTTTTCTTGAAATATGTATTTTATTCTCTTAATTTTAATATTTCTAATATTTTCATATTATTAGAGGATTATTTACAACTTAGTACTTTGCATATTAAGTAGTTGTAATAGTAACCTTAATTTTTATATTTTCTTGATTAAATCATTAAAATTATTATATGTAATTGTGTTATATTATTTTATACAATAATTCATAAAATATTTTCTTAACTGGTTAGGAAAGTATTTTAAAAGATTTGTTGGTATAAAAAATATCCTTAATATTTTCATGGGATCATAAATTGAAATAAAATACAAATTTATTAATTTACTGCAAAGACATTAATTAATAAACAAATGTACCAATTTTGGGCGTTGTGGGGGTGCTAATCCTTCCCCACACGTAACTGACTCTCGAACTCATTTTTTGGTAAACAGACCCTTTTTGTGTTATTTTAATATTATTTTTATAAATTTTATTAAGATAACATAACATTTTTGGTGACCAATCACACCTCGATAAAATGATTGGTGACGACTCCACAAATTGTGTTTTATCTTATAGCAGAAAAAAATACTTACATTTTCGAGACGAGATTTAGAAAGCAACGACACTTGTTTTTGCTGGGCGAAATACCGTCTCGACACCACGTTCGTACATGAACGACTCTGATGATGAACAATCAATTTTTTAATGAAGCTAAAGCTAATATTATATGAATGGTTAAAAAATTATGAATTTTAGGCGATTTCATATATTTTTTGGCTATAAAATATGGATTTGGATGAACAAACGATTTTTTTTATGGTCCGTTAATCTTAAGGGTAAAATTATGATAGAGGAAAATTTGAAGGGATAATTGAACAAAAAAAACTTTAGGTTAGAAAGTAGAAAGAAGGGTAAACTTGGAGGGGGTAATTTGTAAGAAACGAGCAACTTATCTCATGGAATTTTATGATTAAATTTAAACTTTAAAAAATATAAAAAGAATTTGTTTTAGGCAAAGGGGCAGTTAATGTAAAATCGAGGTGATATAAGCTAATCGCAGCCTCCCCCCTGCTTCGTCTTTTCTCACTGTTGCGTTGTTCTCATCAGCGATCCCTTCCCTTCCATTACTTTCTTCTTTCCTCTTCTCTTCGTCCTAACTCTCTACGTCCATTTCTTGCAAATATTCATCAGAGTTTGATGGATCTCAAATTGGTTAGTTCCTTTTTTTTTTCCGATTCTCCATATTGTTCTTCTTTTGGTTTAAATTTTTGCGCAAGTATTTTTCAATTCATATATTTGCTATCGTATCCCCCATTTTATGTTTATTGTTTAAATTAAAAGCGATAATTAATTGAAATCTGTTCACTAGTACTTTTTAGGTTAATTGAATTACTTTTAGATTTTCTCAGGATGAGTTTAGTATTTGTTTTATATGATTGCATTATCACTTTTAGGGTTAATGTTCTAGTAATAGGAATATTGGCAATGAACATATGCATTGAATTCTTGAATTTTGTAATAAGGAAGGCTCTGTTTTTTATACTTGTTTATTCGCTTCTTTTTATTGTATATGAATTAAATTGATTTACTTTGGCTTCAATGTGTGCCTTGTCAGATGGGGTGGTTGTAAGTGAGATTAGCAGGAGGGATAATGAATTAATTGCCATGCAGATCTACTACCGTCGGGTTACTTCGCAGATCCAGTTATCACTGAATTGCATCTTTTATCGCACTATCAACTAGTGTGGTGCTTGCGTAAAAGGCGCTATCAGCTTACTGATATAGAGGCTTTTGGTCCTTTCAGTTAAGTTGGTACCGTCTTTGCAAATATGCCATATTATATACAGAGGCTTTATAATACTTGCAGAGCGTCATTCTCGCCCAATGGCCCTGTTTCTGATGAAGCTCTTGAAAAAGTCCGTACTATGCTAGGTATTCACTATTGATTTCTTCTTTCTTCATGTTTGTTCCTTGAACTTATGGTTGAAACAAGTCTTCTATGCTTTATTAGTTATTATAATTTATAACTGAGATAAAATCATGTTGAAAGTTATTATTAATTTCTACATGTTTCTGGAATTAGTAGTTAGTAAATATATGGAAGCTAATTTTTGTAGCGTGTAGCTGTGATGTTATTTTCAATCAAAATTGAAACGTGTGTACTCATTAACTAATTTAAGTATGTTGGATCTTTCATTGAATGAAATCAGCTATTGTAAGTTGCTTCATGCAACTCCTTGTATGCTAGTTTCTTGGCATGTCCATGAGCTACCAATAAATAGTTCCATTCCTTTTGGCTGATTTGAATACCAAGTTTCCATGTGGTTTCGTAACTAACAAAAAAAAAACTATCCTTCATTGTTCAGGATGTGCAGGTTATTTACTTTTAGTTCAAAATTTTCCCCTTTAGGAAAAAGCTCTGACATAACTTAATTGGCAAAACATTTCCAGATTTCCAACAAATTTAATTACACAGTCATAAACTTTTGTTGACAAAATGAACTTTAGTGGAGTGAGAACTTTGTTATCCCTTCTGCCAAGACCTATTTGAGAACTTCACTATGCTTTTAAGGATTTAATCTTCCTGTTCTCTACTTTTAAGATCTACTTCTTTTGATTTGTATTAAATTTTATAATTTTACCTATCATCTCTGATTGTAGATATACCTTCAAAATGATTGCTGCTAGTTATCTTTGAAGCACTTGTATTTTGACCATAAAAGCTTGTTATATGACGAGTTAAAATTGCAATTTGTTGTGCTTTACATTGAGCAGCTGCTCCATTATTGTGGAACAGTTTCAGGTTTCTACTCGCTAGACACCTTGACAGTTATTTAGCATTGGGGTTCTTCTAGATATAATATAGAAAACAAGTTGTTGGGGTGTTCTGTATTTCAACCTGTCTGTATACTAATGGTATTGGATCAAGACATCATTGTGAGTGTTTACAATTATTCAAATTTGAAGTACTCAGTACAAGGGTATGCTATAACATCGAGAAAGTGTTCTGCTTGGTAGAGGTGATTATTACAACTTTGGTGTTATTTGATTAACCATGCAATTTTCTAAACCACTGCGCATGAAGCTACAATTTTTTTGGTTTTCTAACGAAGTCATGAAACCAAGTTCCATAGCATATTAACCCCAAAATGTCATTTCATTTCAGAGAAAATGAAGCCTTCTGATGTAGGTCTGGAACAGGAGGCACAGGTGGTACGTAATTGGTCTGGTCCTGTAAATGAGCGGAATGGAACCCATCAGTCATTGCCGCCAATTAAGTATCTGCACTTGCATGAGTGCGACAGCTTCTCTGTGAGCACAAACTTTATATTAACTCACTTTTATTAATAATGATATCTCCTACATTGAGGACAGAACTTTTCAAGTGAGGAAGCTGCATTTAGCTGGAGATCTACTAGAATTTATTAAAATGGACACTTCTCTTGAAATTAGATTTAAACTTTTTGAAAATTGAAATTTCGTTATTAGCTATTATCAGACCCTCATTTTTTATTTTCTCATTTTCTGCAGATAGGAATTTTTTGTATGCCACCTTCCTCTATGATACCTTTGCACAATCATCCAGGAATGACAGTGCTGAGCAGGCTTATCTACGGCTCATTACACGTAAAGTCATATGATTGGCTTGACCCAACAGATCCTAAAGATCCACTACAAGGTGTGTTTTATGGTCCATATTACTTTGATGCATGTTAACTAAACTATAACTAAGTATTTCCATAGAATAATTTGTTCTTATGTATAAATTCGATAACAAATTTATATTTTGTATCAAATTGACTTACTAATGATACCATCCTTTATATTCCTTAAATTGACATGGACTTTTGGAGCCATACCCCAAAAGCTAGTTATTGAGATTGGAGAGCTTAGGTGCATATAAACCCCACAAGAATATCTCATACTTTCCTATGTGGGATCAAAGTCCCATACCTTGCAATCAGGCACATATAATTCTACCATGCTTTGCAACCCCAGCGCCCATGGGAGTCAGCTTTGCTAGGGTACTTGATTGAACACTGCAGTACCAATGTTACCACTCTGGGTTACTAATTAGCTGGCTTTGATGCTAATTGATATTAACCTTTGGCGAACCACATCCCAAATTGGAGAGCCTAGATCCTTACAAACCCCCACAAGAAAATCCCATACTTATCTATGTGGGATCCAAATCCCGTAACTTTCAGTTGGGCACTCGAAAACCTCACGAGTCCCTTTTTTTTTTAATTATTATTCTTTTCCAAATATCTGTTTCACGAGTCCTATTTCACTTCTGTTCTTTCTCTTTAAATTATAGAAGATCTAGTATCTTTTTAATCTATATTTGCTTTTTTATATGCAGTTTGTTTTTTGTATAACCTGCATTTAATTTAGTTATGTGCTGGTAGCTTATTTGTTTAAAATAACTGAAAATATTTTGAGACTGAAATTTACTTTATTTAAAATTCGGTTGGAATAGGAAGAAGAAGACATATGTAATACTAAATGTGGCCGACTCTTTGTTACAGATAATGACTCTTTAATAGGGTAGATGTTAAAGCGTCTTTCTGCTAGCATCTAAGAAAGTTAGAGGCCTATTCAATTCCTTATCTTGTGTAGATGTAGTTTACTTCTGGCTTATTGAGAATGCTTGTGACATATCTTCCCAACTGATTTTTGTGAAATATTTGGAGGCTATATTGTACTTAGCATGATGTCTGGTTTGCCTGTATCATGCGAAACGGAAAGGAAGCTATTGAACACATGGGTTGAAATAAATAGGAGTTATTAATCCTTATTAGATCTTTTTTCTGAGTAACAGGAGTAATTATTGGTGGCCTATGGCAGCTGAACCTTCCTGCCTGTCACCGGCTAAAGTAGTTGTTTGTTCAACAGATGTAATAATATTGATAAATTATTCATAGACAAAATGTCGATGTATCTTTGATTTTGAATGATGCATTTTCTCTTCACCCTTCCAAGGGTATAGGGAACTAATTATATAATCTTCAATCTTTGACTTGGATTTGCTTATTCTTGGTGGTTTGTAGCAAGAGCTGCAAAGCTTGTTAAGGATACTGAGATGACAGCTCCTTCTGCAACAACAGTACTTTATCCCACAAGTGGAGGCAACATTCATTGTTTCAGGGCACGGACTCCCTGTGCCATTTTTGATATTTTATCTCCACCTTACTCTTCGGAGCATGGACGACACTGCACTTACTTCCGGAGGTCCCCAAGGAGGGATTTACCTGGTAAGAAATAAAATTCTGAACCTAGTTATAGATGGTAGGTTCTATAATATTTTGAGACATGATGATCAATGCCACATGCTGGTTTCTTATTCATTTGCTTGTTTAAAATGAAGGCGAGATTGAAATGAATGGAGAGACGTTCTCGGAAGTGACTTGGTTGGAAGAGTTTCAGCCCCCTGACAACTTTGTGATTCGTAGAGGGCTGTACAAGGGTCCTGTTATTCGAACTTGAAATATTCTGGTACCATCCATCGAACTTATATTCTAATATGAAAATTGGGCCATAATAATAAGACACAAGCATGGGGGCTGTAGAAGTTAGGCATTTGGGGTTGTACATATTACTACACCAATGTAATCCTGTGATTTTACTGACCTCACATTTTATTAGTGGGATAGAGTGGAAGTTGAGAGGAACTTTGCGCTTAATGACTTTTGTTCTTTTCGATTTTGTTTGTTGAATGACAATGGGGGAGTTCATTATTATCTTGTTTGTTGGTTTAGTAATTTGGCTACTTCATTTATTGTGGGTCTTTCAAGGACAATATACGTGTATGTGTAGAATCCATTTTTTCTGCCTTGATCGATGGGAATAATGCTGCCTAGGACGAAGTTTATTATTTGGGAGTTGTAGTTTCATTCAATGGGATTAAATACCAATTTGTATAAGCAAAACCTTCTATTAATTAAATTCAATTTTACAGCCACCTTTGTCCGGGGTTAGGGATTGTTTTGCAATGGGCGGTTAATAGGGCTTATAATTGACCTAAATAAAGTCTAGAATCGTTGTGCATTATGTAGATGCTCGGTTTTGTCCGGGGCTAGGCTTAAAGAAGAACCCAAATCAGTGGGAGCTCAAATTAAGTCCAATGACCCAGCAGAAATAGATTCCAGTCCACATGAATCCTGGAAAACAAAGTGGTTAGGAGTTAACAAAGGGGAGAAAGAAGTTAACAAGGAATCAGGAGCCATTATTGGTAGTGGAGGAGAACGCTACTTGAACAACTAAGAAACTGTAAGGAGTCAGTTTTTTTTGGATGGATATCAACCACTGGAAACTACAAAGGAAGTGGGGGAGAGAGAACAAAAACAGGGATCACACAGTAAAAAGAAAAGGGGATTTTAGAAGAAAAAAAAGCACAAAAATTGGCCGAGAGAGATACTGGGAATGAATGTAGAGAACAAAAGCTAAAAAAGTATACCCTCCCTTAGTGATTTTTACAGCAAAAAAACAACAATAAAAACGAAGCATTACTGGCATTGGTAATTTTTCAAGGCAACACACAAGAAACAGAAAGAACCAGAAACGAAGGAAGGCATTTCAAAAAAGAAGGGATTAGGAGCCGAAGATCTTGTTAAATATCAACAACTTCATAGTGCAAAGATAAAAAAGAAAAACAAGGGTGTAATTTCAGAATTCGAAAAAACAGAGAAAGCAATTAAAATACACTTTTTTGAGGTATTTTTTTCCATCTCTTTTCAATTTCCAATCTGTTTTTTTTGTGTGTGTGCTAGTATTATTTTAAAAATAAAATAAGAATAGAGGAAGGTTATTTACCTATTAGTCTTAGAGGTCATCCGTTCGTGTCGTCGGGATTGAGATGTGAGCAGTTAGGCTTCTGTTTCGAGTGACCTGGGGGTTTTCATTCGGTTTGCTAGGCTTCTAGGTCGAAGAGGGCAAAGTCTTGATGTGTAACCATCATGGTGGTGGTCGCCGAGCTTCTGTTAGGGAGAGAGGCTTGTAGTTGATGAAACGACATGGAGAGGAAGAGTTAACAATACTATGTTTTTAGAGATTTGTTTGTAAACACCTTTTAAGATCCAGTACTAAGGTTCTGCCGTTTTGTGCTAACATAAGACAAGGGTAGAATGTTCTTTAAATTATTGGGCTTATTATGTAGAGGCCGCTTGTTTCTACTTTTAATACAATTTGGTCCTTGATTTGAGATTATTATAGTTGTTGATTTAGTTCCTTCATTTCACATTATTATGTTCTAGTCCATCTTGTTTTTCAACGAATGTGCATGTTCCTCTTGTAAATACGAATAGGGTTATAATTACATTAAAATATATATGTAATATGCCGCATGTATGTCTCTATTTATTATCATTTTTTATGTTTTATATGTTGTATAATTTTTTGCTGTTTAAATAATAAAGGTTATATATATACACAAAAAAAGAGAGGCTTTAATTCATTAAATATTCCCTATGTTTTACGTTCATGTCACAAATATATGTTTTTAAAAATTATCTAGATTATTTTATTTGCTAGATTTAGTCTTTAAGTTTAAATTTATTTTAATTTAGTCCACTTGTTAGGTTTGTTTTCTTTAATTAGTTGTTTATATTTATTTCGCATGATGATATGTTTATATATGTATGAGTATGCAAATAATTCATCAGTAACTCGCATGACATTATTTTCTACACAACTTGTATGATATCTTCATGTGCGTAACTCGACATATTACATAATTGGATTAATGGTAATATACTTTTAATTTAAAATCGTTTTAAGTGGGCAGTCATAACTGATTTGAGGTCCGCTTTTAATGATTTTAAAATAAGAGTGTATCCCGAAAGTGAAACCAAAAAAATTGATTCGTCACCTAAAATTTTGAAACGAAAGAAAAGGAAATGTTCGTTTATTTAAATTTATCGAGAAAAGGTTGTTATAATTTTTAAGATCTGGTCTCGATATTTGTAAATAATCGAACATTCTTTATCTTTCTAAAACGACTTGGTAATTTTTAATTTAATTATTTTGAGTGCTTTTTGAATGTTTTTAAATTTACATCTTTGTTTTATGGGATCAAAAATCAAATTAAATTAGAATTTGTAAAATTCATTGCAAAGACATTAATTAATCGACTAGGTACCGTTTTAGGGCGTTGTGGGGGTGCTAATCCTTCCCCGCACGTAACCGACTCCCGAACTTGGATTTTGGTAACGCATACCTTAATTTGTTGTTTTAATTAAAATTAATTTTTATTTAAAATAACAAAACATTTTTGGGTGCCCAATCACACCATAATCAAATATTGGTGGTGACTCTTTGAACAATATTTTTTTAACGTAAAGAAAATTTCAAAATTTTCGAAACGAGAGGTTTTTAAATCGTATTTGTTTTTAAATTAAAAATCAATTGAAAGAGATAAGTTAAAAATTGATGTGGTTTTCAAAATCTCACCTTTTCACTTTTAAGGAAAAATCATTTCGACAGCTTGGCGACTCTGCTGGGGATAGTGGATCGCTCCTAGAGCTCACGCCTTATGGTCCTTGTGATGGTAATCACCTCCGCATGGACATAAGGAGGTGTGTTCCCTCGAAATTGAACTCGATCCCCTAAAGCCTGTGATGGGCAAGGATTGAGGGTTCGGCAACCCAAGGGGGAATCGACAAGGACAATTCGAGAACCTATTACTTTAGAACCTAACCCAGCATATAGTGAATATAGAGCCTGAACTTAAGTGGAGCCTAACCCGAACCTTAAGAATCCCCGTGAGGAGGGTACACAAGGAAAAGCTTTTTTGAGTCATTTATTTTCGTTTTTTCGAATAAATGCATGCGAACTAGATATCATGCGGTTAGGTTTATTTTTTGAACAAGCATGCGAATTAGATATCATGCGGTTAAGATTTATTTTTGTGAATAACAAAGCATGGGGGTAGATATCATGTTGGGTAAGATCTGATAAAGCATGATTGGGTAGGATTCTTGAATAAATTATTATCCCGACTTAATTGCTTTATGTTTACTAACCGATATTTTGTTGTCTTTGTCTTGTTTCTTTTCTGTTTTGCATTGCACTATCCATTACATGGTGTTGATTTGGGATCGATGTCCATATAGAAGGCCAGTAATATGGAACGAACGGTTCAGAAAGAGGTTGAAGACAATGCAAATGTTTTGAGGTGGTCGGAACAGTCCCAACTGACCAATGGGGACAGCGTGATGCTTGGATACGTGTCAGAGTTATTTGGTTATACTCATATCAACGTGCGTCAGAATGATCTAAGTGAGCTAAAGGAAATATGGGGAAGATGGACAGTAGCCGATAAGGAGATATTTTATCAGTTGTACGGCGATATTCCTTATCTTCTGGATGTTCCTATTGACCGAAGTCTGTTTAGAGCATTGGCACAGTTCTGGAATCCGGCTTACAGCTGTTTCACATTTGGTAGAGTGGATATAACACCAAAAATAGAGGAGTATCAAGCTTTGGTCCGTTGTTCGAGGTCCCAGATGGATAGAGCATATACCAAGCTGTCAGTCACTCCTTCGTTTAAGAAGAAATTACTATTGATGACCGGAATGAGTGAAGATTGGGTAATCAGAAACATTAAGAAGAAGGGAGACAGTGAGTGTATCTCTTGGGCTGCTTTGAAAGAAGTAATCGATCATCATCCTAATAAGAGAAAGAAGCTTGACTTGTTTGCTTTAGGGATTTATGGGCTCGTTATTTTTCCAAAGGTGCTAGGATATGTAGACGTATCAGTCGTTGACCTATTTGAAAGATTAGACAAGCACGTGGATCATGTTCCAGCCATTTTAGCTGAGACATTCCGGTCTTTGAGTTCTTGTAGGCGCGAGGGAGAATGACGCTTTATAGGATGTGCGCCTTTACTGCTAGTGTGGATTCTGAGTCATTTTAAACATGTTGAAAGAGCACCAGGACGAGTGTTTCTAGAGGGGTTTTCGCCTTTGAAAGATTTTCTTTCTAAAGAATGGCCTGGGGACTTCACCGAAGAAAAATGGATGGTCATCTTCAAGGATATCAGAGATGGAGATATTTTGTGGCGAGCTTCGTGGAATACCTCTTCGGATATACTTTACCGATGTGGAGAGCGAGATTAGGTTCCTTTGCCAGGTATATGGGGTTCTGTTGGGTATGCACCGCCGCTACTAGTTTCCAGACAGTATGGATCGAGGCAGTTCATTCCAGCCACGTGGGACTTGGTAGGATCGGATTTTGCATTCAAAGGAGATCAGTATAAGGGTAAAGTTAAAGGGGTTGCTGAGGCCTGGAAGCAAACTCGTCGCGTGAATTTGTTCACCTATGATCTCGAGTTATCTCAAGAGTACGAACAGTGGAGAAGCGGTCGAGTAAACGATAACATCCCGATAGTGAATCCTGAAAATATTCAGCCGGTGGAGGAACAGTTGAGAGTGGTGCCATCTCCATTAGAGTTAGCCAAGCGCGATTTCGAAGCAGAACGGAGACAATGGAGAATGACTTTACAGAAGCTAGAAGATGAAGTGTATCAAAAGGGATTGGAGATTGACATTCAGAAGAGTAGAGCAGATCGAATTGAAAAAATAGAGAAGCAACTTCAGCTAGATTTTGACGATCTTCGGTCAACTTATCAGCGAATGGTAAAAGCTCAGACAGGTTCTAGCTCGAGTAAGTTTGTCGAATTGAGGCAAGAGGTGGCGAGCCACAAAAGAGTAGCCGGAGAGAGTCAAGAAGAGCTCAAGCAAAG